TGGTTTTCAGTTTGTTGATGACTTTTTTCTCTTTAACCCTTCTGTTCTGGAACCAAATTGTGACCTGCCGTTCAGAGAGGTTCGTCGTGGCTGATATCCGCCTCCGTTTGTCCTTAGTAATGAATTTGTTCGTGGCGTATTCCCGTTCAAGTTCTTTTAACTGCACCTTGGTGTAAGGCACGCGCTTCTTTCTCCCCCTCCTATAGGAGCTGGCATCCGAGGGATGGGAGACCACGTCTAGAAGATAAGAGAGAAGGCAAGTTACACAGGATCAGACCTCAGCCAAGCCATAGGCTACAGCTCGAACTGAGCCACCCGCCTTGCAGCGCCCGGCTGCTCTTTGCCACGCGCTATACAATCCGGCCTTCTGCCAAAGCCTAGAGGGTCAGTGGGAAAGGTGGATAGTTCTGAAATAAAATGAAATCGCCCAGGGCTCCAGTGACTTCCCCAACCCGGCCATCCTGCGGTAGCAGCGCGTAGGCAGCCTCGAGAGAGAGTTTGGTCCAGCGGCCCACACCTTAGCGCCAGGCTTAAGGTACAGCACTTCTATGCCTGTTTCCTTCCTGGGTGCCCGTCCCAATACTCGAAGCTTCTACACTGAAGCCATTTTTGAGAGAATGAATAGAGAGGGACAATTTGGGGAGCTGTTTTCTGGTCAATTTCTCATCTTTAAATTGGTGTCAGGGGCTGTGAAGGGCGGGGCGCAGAAGGAGAGGGAAGCTAGCCTGGGTCCCCACAAGTTCTTTCCCAGCCACCCCTCACCCAGGGAGGGCCAGGGGCCAGCTCAACTCAAGCCAGCACAGGCAGCCCCAGCCAGTCATGCTCGGACTCCCAGGGGTGCAGAGCCTCTAGGGCAGACCAGGAAGAGAACAGAAGGGCACCCGGCATCGTCTGCGTGCGAGCGGAGAAGCTGGAGCAGAGCTGGGAAGACCAGAGCTGGGAATAGGGCGCCATTTACCGGGCAGAGTGGACTTCCAGAGGTGGGGAGGCTGCGCCTGCTCTTTGGGGCAATACATTTGGCCGTTCCAGCCGTTGGGCAGCGCCCAGGGCTGGTAGCTTTCCATGGGAAGACCCAGGGGCTCGTGGCGCGACTCGCCGGGGCCACCGAGACCCGGCACCACGGGCATATCCAGGTAGCCAGGCATGGGCTGATGATGGTGGTAAGGCCCGGCTGCGTAGCCCTGGTGGTAGAAGGCGAACTCCTTAGCGCGGGAGCTGAACTCCTCGGCCGCTGGGCCGGCGGTATCCATGTACTTGTCCGCGAAGGCAGCGGCGGCGGCCGAGGCGGGCTGCGCGCACGACTTGATAGCGTTGGGGTGCGGGCCCATGCGGGCGCACGGGTAGTAGCCGCTGCCGAAATAGCCATAGGGTAGTGCCGCGGGCCCCGACGAGCTCTGCGCCGCTGCTGAGCAGGGGCTGCATTGCTTAGCGGCCTCTGCGCCTGCCGGGCCCGCCGGGCCAGGCCCTCCGGAGGACGACGCGGCGGCGGCGGCAGCGGCGGCGGCGGCGGCGGCGGCGGCAGCGGCGGACGGGGGCGCCTCCCCCGGCGCGCTGCTGTAGGCGGACGCGGCTCCTGGCGCCAAGGGCGCCGGGTGCGCCATCAGGTTGCGGCATTGGTTGGCCGCGGCCGCCGCCGCCGCCGCGGCCGCCGCCGCCATCGAGAAGTTGCCCCCTGCTGCCGCCGCCGCCGGGTGGGGGAAGCCCCCGCCCCCGGCCCCAGCCGCTGCAGCGGCTGCCGCGGCTGCTGCTGCAGCCGCCGCCCCTTCCATGTTCTTGTTGAGCTCGTCGGCCACCAGGCCGCCGCCGTTGTCGTAGAGAAACATGACGGTGGGCTCGATCCAGCGGGGGTGGAGGAGCACGGAGGCTGTCATAGCCCGAGCCGCATGGAGAAGACCCCAGTGGCGCTGTTTTAAAAAGCCCCCAAGAAGTGAAGAGCGCGCGGCGCGGGGCCGGGGCCCGAGCGAGGGGGGCGGATCGCGCCCCGCGGGGTCGCGCCAGGCGGCCGCCCATTGGCCCGGCCCCACCCCCCGCTCCGCCCAGGCGTATGCAAAGCGGGCGGCTCCTACTCCAGCTCTGCGCGGTGCACCCGCCGTCCCGGCCGCGGCCGGCGCCGTCCCCAGCGCCAGCCGCGCGGTCGCGCACCATTCACCCAGGGGAAAGGCGGGGGAACGTGCGGGTGGGGCAGGGAGGGAAGGGCAGCCCCATCTCCGCCCCCCTTTCCCTTCCTTTATCCTGGTGGGGCTCAGACCCGCAAAACCAGGCGGGGAGGGGAAGTGGGCGCGCGGTTGGGTTGCGACCTGGAGCGGTGGGGACAGGTCAGGTAATACTGCCGGCGGTCAGGGATGGGAGAGTGGGGAGGACCGGACAAGCCTAGCTCAGAATGGGTGTTTCTTGGGGCCTATGAGGCTGTTTTCTTTCCAGGAACCGGCGCGTATTTCTGCAGTGAGACCCTAGGACGGACTCTACGCTTTCGGCTTCGATGGAGTCCCGATTTTGCTCTTTACAGGGAAACAGTGGAAGGGTGTTTGCTGCTTGTCGATTCCAGAGGATATGCCTGGTTCATGGGTCCCCGGACATTCCACTGGAGGCTTGGACTGCATTTAGGAGCTGCCATCCCTTCCCTGTCCACACTGTTAGTAAGCAGTTTCACATGTTTGCATTTAGATTCGTAGGCTCAGAACGACTCATCACACACACACACACACACACACACACGTACGCGCGCGCGCGCACACACACACACAGTGTTCACTGACATACTCAATCACATTCACACACTTAGGTATACAGCCTGTTCCTTGCTCTGAGCCGGTTACAACGTTTCCTCCTCCAGAGACTTTGAGATAGAGCGAGCGATCCGTGGGCACCATTCATCCTTGCTCGTGCCTCGCCAGTCTGGCTAGCTTGTTCTGGAAGGGGCTTAAGAGGAACAAGCCCCAGCTGTGCTTCCGGCTGGGACTCAAGCCCCCCCCCCCCTCCTTCTGGGCCCTAACGCCTCCAGCTTCTTTGTGGACCGGACTTGACTCTCCCGGCACCTGGGAAGCTACTATTTCATTCTATCTGGGGACAAGAAAAGGGGGCTCTTTGGAGCCACTTCCTGCCTTCCCCTAAAGTAGGATCTCCAGCCTGCAGTGGTTGCCTAGTCCTTCTTTGCCCAAGAAGCCTTTCCTCTGTGCCTGGGAAATGCAACCTTCTCTTGGGAGCATGGTAGGGTGTTGGTGCTGGAAGAACCAAGCAGTGACCCCTCTTGCAGTTGCCATGTTTTGGTGAGGGGTTCTGGGGGTCCTGCTGCTTTAGGAGCCTATACTTCCACTTCCTGATTCACTACTGTGAGCTAGTCAGATGCTTAGAAGGGGAACAAGCTTCAAAGTGAAAGTGGGCACATTAACGGAATAGAGCTGGGGAGAGTGCTGGATTCTTTTCCACCCCAGGCAGACTGGTGAGAGGCCAGACTTGGACCTGTCCTCTGCTCCTAGCTTGCAAACTCAGCCCTAAACTCAGAGCAGCATGCATACCACCCCCCTCCCCACCCCACCATCTGCTCTCTAAGGCCCCTGGGCTTCCTGCAGGGTCCAGACCAATGTGACTGGGCTTGGGCTTTTATCTGTCCTGATCCTGGGTTTGTCCTGACCAATGTAAGTGTCGCCCAATAAAACCTTCTATGACCCCCACCAGCCAACCCCCACCCCCACCCCAGTGTGCCCTTTCCTTCTTGACTTTCTAGCAGTTCTGGGTAAATATTGATTTGCCCCCCAGTTTACCTTCTCCCTGACTGGCCATTTGCAGACTCAGGAACTAGCCTCTGTAGGGACTTGATTTTTCTGTTACTTTCTGGCCCTTTCACTTACCCCCCCTTCCTCCCTCCAAGTGCATTGTAAAACTCACAGTGACAAAGACACAGGGTAGGGTTCGAGGCCCCAGTTCCTGGGGACTTGAAGGAGGTTTTACATGCGGGTCAGACACGGCTGGAGGCCAAGGTCAAGTTGAAAGTTGCAGTCTAGCCAGCATGAGAACTGCCATGCAAGCATGGAGACCCAGGTGGCTGCATAAGGCCCACTGCCCACATACCCTCACTCTTAATTTTCTCTCTCTTTTTAAAATTCTCGGCTCTGACTCTGTTTGGCTGCCCAGAATGTTTTGCTGCCTTGGTGGGGTTTTGGGAGCCGTGTTAACCGACTCTTCTTCTCTGCCTCTGCCCTGCTCAGCCGATGCTTTGAGCCTCTTTGGTTTTCCAGCCAGACCCAGAAAAACGAAAACACAGCTTGGGGAGCCCCCACTAGCTGGCGCCTGTGCCAGCTCACCTCTGGCCATGGCGGCAGCTGCCGGTGCACAAGGCGGCCAAAGCCAGCTCCACAATCTTCCCTCCCCCTCCCACTTCACCGGAGCTCGGAACCCTGCGTGCAGAGGAAGGGCCTCAGCTCCACAGACGACTGGGTCCCTCCTCACCAAAAATGGTGAGACAAGATTTCATCTTGTCCGCTGAGGAGCCACAAGCAGGTTTGTCTGGAAGGGATGGTGCTGGGGGAAGGCTTTGGACTGCATCTCAAATTAAGCTTTGCCACTTAAATGTGGCGCTCTCACCAAGGAAGAGCTTGGGGCCTGAATTATTGAGATTTATGGTGGACCTTTAGTGGTCAAATTTGTCTGGACATTTTCTTAGTTCCCCATGTGTCCCTAACATTAAAAAAAAACAAACCTCTCAAGACATGATTACTTAGAGGAGGCACCCTGCTTGTTCCCTTCTTGTCTTGGATCTCAGTCTACATTTTATTTTTCTATCAAGCATGTCAATGGCCTCCTGGCATTCCCTCACTTTCTTTAAATGCCTGCATGTCCTGTTAGTATTGAGTTGTAGTCACCAGTTAGCAGAGGTGGTTTATGGAAGTGGAACAAGCTCTGGGAATAATTTTGGGTCTGAGTTTCAGAATTTCTACTCACTTTGAAGCAAGAATAATCTTCCTTCACCGTCTTCTGCTGAGGGAGATAAGACATTTATTAATGGTTCCCAATATGATTTCTTTCCCTGCCAGGCAGTCAACAAACTGACTTGCTGTGGCAAAAGAAAGGTCGGAGGGCAATGAAGACAAGTGTGCTCTGGGAAGCAAGCACAGACCCTCCTAGCATTTTTCCTCTTTTCCCAACAGCAAGGTCAAGATTTGCTTGCCTGCCCGACCTTCTGAGCTGTCTGTCCTTCTGATTTTTTTGTTCTTCAAGCTCAGAAATTCCTATGGTATTACATGGAGGCACCATCAACATGACAATTTTATGTCCTCAGACTCCTCATGGGGAAGGAAGCCAGGGCACCCACTAGGATCTGACGGCAGCAGTGGCACCTTAAGCATGACAGCCAAGCAAAGGGCTGCGTGAGTAGAGGTGGGGGAGATGGGAGAGGCTGCAGTCACTTCCCAGGTACTGTCTGGTATACCCAGATTTCTTCCAGGACCCCTGAGAGGGCAACAGGCAGGACCGGAGGGTGGTTTCTGCAGTAAGCCCTTTGTTTAAGGAGTTGCCAGAGCCTTTCTCAGTGCTCCAGAATGTCTTGGCTGACAAGGCTCTAACCTCCTGCGGTAGGCCAGGGTGCCTTGCAGGGCTTGGCTGCCAAAAAACCTTTCACTGAAGAAGAGACCATGGCTGGGTTTTTCTGGGTTGGGGACTGGATGCCAGCCTGGCCCATGGAGCTCTGGGTTTCCAGTGTTGGAGGAGAAAAGGACAAAGGGAAACCAGGTTTTCATTGAGTTTGATTTTCATTAGCAAATGAAATTACCTGCTCTCACTTTAACTAAGAGGAGGCTGTCAGCACTGCTCCCTGGCACTATTTCTTTGCATCCATCCAGCATTAGAACATTCCTTGGTTGGTTCCAAAGACACTGTATTTCAGGATATTCAGGTGTTTTTAATGTATCCAAGCAGCTTTACAAGCCACTTTTGCAGAACATCTTAACCCTCTCTTCTCCCACCCTAGGTGGGCTGGGACCCAGATAATGGCAAAAGAAGAAAGATCCAGAGGAAAAACCGGTTGAGGGGCTGAGGAGAGAGAAAAAGAGAAGATGAAACCGTCAAACGGTGTAGCACCTCTGAAGCCAAACTTGTGCGGATCATTTGAGAACGGAGCAAGTGGGGGACTGCACTACTTACAGAGGGCATTTTGGGTGTCCCCATCAGGGAAGCTGTACCCTCTTTCTTAGAGGAAAGGATAAATCCTGAGACCTGGGCTGAAGTTGGCCAGTGGGCAGGGAAACGGCCGATCGAGTCACCGATTCAAGCTTTTGTTCTAGATTTCCGTGCATTTGAAACAATAATAAGTCATAAAAAGCTCAAAGCTGTGGGGATAGTTTTGGGTTACAGTCACTGTGGTGACCAAATGCTAGCATGGTGAAAGTGGAAGTGTAAGGAAGACCCACAGGGACCCCAACTTTGCTTTTAAGATCCCTTCACGCGGTGGATCTCAAGAACAGCAGGTTTTCGGAGGAGCAGCTCTCCTGCTGCCTATAGCGTTTTTTGTTTTTTGTTTGTTTTTTTTTTTTCAGGTACCACAAAGCCACTAGCGCATAGGGCCTCAGAAAAGACGGCAGGAGCTCAAGGAAGACTCCAGTTTGTACAGACCTGCCCTGTTTCCCTCAGAGAGTCCCTGGGCAAGGAGACCGCCACCCCATACACACCGTTTTAGAACAACCAGGTTCCAGACTCCCATGAGGAGCATTCCCCATTGCACAGCCCCAGCCAGCCGCGCGTGGACTCTCCAGGACTGGCGCAAACTCGGGGCCTCCAAGACTCGGCTCTGGGAGGCCTAAGTGACTCGGAAGCCGGCGGCCGGCCGCAGCAGCGGCGGTGGTGGGAGAGCTTTCTTCCCCGACAGTGCCGCTGCTCGCTCTTCACTGGAGCTGGAAACAGCCTTCGCGGGAAGGACCGGAGCGTGCGTTAGAAGCAGAGGGAGCTTGGAGAAGGGCTCCGCCGGAAGGTGGAAACTCCTCGCTGTGCGCGGCCAGCTTGCGGGGCACACCGGCTTGTTGGACTGCGGAACCCGCGCCACCCAAGAAGTGACCTGCCGGGGCGGTGGGCAGCCGCGGGACGGCCCGGGGAATTCCGTGCGGCTGCGACGTGAAAAGGACGCGGGGTCTCTGTACCCGACGCTGTCACTGACTGAAAGGAATTTTACCCGCGGACGCCCACCCCCACCCTAGCTGGATGCTCACGCGCGCAACAAAACAGGAAACCAGCACCGGGCAGTGCATTCTTTAAGTCAACAAATACACTGAAGATATCGAGGGTTTGAAGGAAGTAGGGGGTTTGCACATAAGCCTGGTCCCGCCGGGCTCGGCTTTCTCGCTGAGAAAGCGGCGCAGGCAGCCAGGCGGCCTGGGCCCGCGGGAGTCCATCTCGCTGTAGACACCGAAGAACTCCCGCGGCCCTGTTCCCAGCTGCGAATTCTTAATGCACAACGCGACGGAGGGAAGAAAATTCACCAGCGCAGCAGCTAGGCAGGGGAACTCAGGACCCCTTCAAGTACACACTGAGGTGTGATCAGAGTTTTATGGGTACGTTATATGCTGTAATCATAACGATGTGTGTGCCTTGATATACACGCACATCCATGCATCAAACGTGCATATCCACACACAGTGAATAAGCACATGCAGTGTCATGTGGGCGAAATACAGGCGTCATACCCAGCCCTAGGAAAAAAATTCACCCTGTCTGACCAGCCTGGTGACATACTTCGCTGGCTCATCTCCTTACTCATTCTGATTTTTCCGACCCCTCACCATACCCTCTCCTGTGGCTTTATCAATACACCTGTCCCCCGTGGAAGGTGAGTCCTGGACTGTCGTTGCCCGGTTGGCCTGTCCTCCCCAGAACCTCCGGCTGGCTCCGGGGACCCTCGCCGAGCGGGTCTGGAGCACCCGACACTGTTCAAGGAGCAGCCGCCGTTCCTTTGTCCCGCGGCTCCCGCTCCATTCGGCCCAGCTCTCAGAGAAACGAAGCGCTCAGTACGAACTTTTGATACTAGTTTTTATGGGTATTTACACTCTGGCGAGGGGAGCTGAGTACGGAAGCTCCATTAATCGGCCCCAACCTTGGGTTTAGATATTCAGTTTATGGGTTAGGAGAGGGAGTTTGCCGGAAAGAAAGCATCAGGGATGGCCACTGACTTCAGAGAAATGAAAAGGGAGCTAGGTCGTTTTCTATTTCTGGAAATCAAGAATTAGGAATGGGCAACTACAGGTGCTAACAGACCACTTTTTTTGGTTCTTGGTAGCCCTTTGGCAGGGATAGTTTTTCTACTGTTGCCCAATACATTTTTTAAAAATATCTTTTTATTATGGAATTTGTCAAACACACACACAAGCATAACAAACCCCTATATACCCAAATCCTAGTTTCAACCCCTGTTATAATTTCTTCTCCAATGTTTTATTACCCACTTTCTCTCTCTCTCTCTCTATCTCTCTCTCTCTTTAGTATTTAAAATAAATCCCAGATATCATCGCATCATTTCATCCCCACCATAGGATTTTGAGGATCTGTTAGATTTCAAGATTGACCAAAAGGACTTGAAATGGGGTTATTGCAATGAAACTCTAGAAAGAACTTGAGGGTTCTCCCAGGAGTAAACTGGACAAAAAAGGGGTTTGAGGTGTGGACCCATCTTGCCTAAAATCTTGTCTCATCTTTCTAAAAAATACATATGAAAAAGGAAGATTTATGTTACCTTTTTATATGAGTGAATCGTCCTTTAATAGAAATTTTCTATTGCTGTGTCAGAATTATGGGGGAACACAAAAAACATGGCTCAGTCCTTGGGGTGTCCTAAATGGACATATATTCACTTATTAGTGGGTAAATGACTATATTCCATTTCAGCACAACTCCTCCCCTGGTAGAAACTCAAAAGACATTTCTAATGATTACACTAAGGAAGCTTGCATGGGATTGATAGCTCATCAGACCAACCACAGTTTTTAGGAAGAAATGCGGCGCATTTAAAGTATCCCTCTAGCAATAAGGGGTTTTTAAAAAGAATGAAAAAAGGTGTTGTGGTTTCTTTTGTTTTAATATGGTAGTCTAATTGACAATGAGCATGATCCTCCCCATCGAACTCTGAATGTGATTTAACTGAAAGCCTTGGCAATTTCAGAAAGCAAAAAGGTAGAAACAGAAAATAGCACACTCGAATTTGACAATTTTTACATTACCCATCTGCTTAACAAATTCTAACTCCATTTGTCTGAGTGGATACTTATCTTTTCTATGGCAGTATTTTGTATTTGGGTTGTTTGTGGTTCCTTAATTAATTTTTTGAGTAGTGATTAAATATCTGGGATGTTTTTCCACTAAGCATATAAATTCTCATGGTATTGGAAAAGAGCTATTTGATGAAACTCAGAAGGGGTATGTAAATTAAGCAAAGTGTGCCTACATTTTATAACAACCTCGAATAAGTCCAACTGTATTCTGCAGAAGCCATGGAAATGCTGGCCATGAGCTCTCTGCCCACTATGTGTGGGGCATCACCAAGATCGACCCCTACCAAGCCTTGGGCACGGTAGTGGGTTCAAGGTTGCGGTGTATCCTGATCCTAAGATGGAGATCCTCACCACAGGGGTGAGGGCTCAGGTCAGGGTCAGGGTGGGGACTGCAGAAATCAGACGATTCAAAGGAAGAGGGAGAGGGAAAGAGAGAAGCTGCAGACAAGCCGGGAGACAAAAGGAAGGGAGAGATGGGAGGGAGAAGTATGGAAGCAATGAAACTAATTCTCTATAAAAAAATTTAAGCTACATAAGCTCAAAGAAGGCCTATTTTTAAAGCTTAGCAGAAGCCCATTCTCCACTGAAGCCTGTTCTTTGAGGAAGCCTGGCTAGGGGGTAGTGGGGGTGGCACCGCTGGGGCTGGCGACTTCCCTACGAGGGGGATCCCGTTTGAAGCAGGTGAGGGCACCCAATAAAGAAGCTGCAATGAGCATCTCTGAGGCACATGGGGAAGCCTGCACAGAGTTCTCTATTGGTCATAAGGTTAAGAAATGCTGGTGGAGACAGAGGAGCTCAGTTAGGAGCCAGCTCCCTATATGTGGGGCTCATTTCCATGGGCTGTGAGAGAGGCCAATCCTCCACAGAAATTAGAATCTAGATGCGAGAAGGCAGCCAGGATCAGGTCTGACCAGATGGCCCCATGGCAGAGATGGGGGAAAAATGTCATCTTTGAATCCTGAGAAGCTAGGCTTTGTGCTCACTTAGCTTCTGCAGCAATCGATTGGTCCCTGGAGCCACTCAGTACACTCCAGGGATCTGCCTGCTTTAGGATCCTTGCAGTTTAGGTTCTAAGCCTCCCTGTGATTTCTGTAACTGCACAAAAACAAGCTGGGCTTTGAGAATCCGAGTATTGTACCGAGTTAAATGCAGGCTCGACCTTCTGCCTATAGAGAATCCAAACATGTGAATTCTGCTTGTATCAGCTTCGGAGGCAGAGGTTGAGAGCCGAGCTTGAGACAACTTCTCAAGCCTGCTAGCAATTACCTGATCTCAGCTACTTTTAAAAAGGCCATATTTCTTTACATTTCTAGGATCTAATGTGAGGTTATGTCAGGTCATGGGACCCTAGGCTGGTGCAAAGTAATTTGATGTCACCAAGAGCAAGCAGACTCGTTTGTCACCCAGAGGAATAGAAGTCCCTGTGATTTCTGCTGGGAGCAGAGCAGAGTTGGGTTGGTTGGGGGTGTGGAATCCAACCAGGGGTCCAGCGGGGTCCTAACCAGGTGAGCTGGGAGGGGGCCTTCTGGATCGTGTGTGTGTGTGTGTGTGTGTGTGCAAGCTCGCGTGTGTGTCCTCTGCCTGTCTGTCTCAGATTGAGAGCTTGAGAGGATTAAGGGATCAGCTCTGGTCCAAGCATACACACCAACACACTGGAACTCAGCATGGGACCCAGACCGAACCAGGCCCTTGGATCCTAGGTTCACTGGTGACATGATCCAGGTCTCAGTTTTTCTGAAGTTAAATTTTGTTAGTCCAGCTGCAGTCCTTTCTTACCCTGGCCCTTACTCACTTCTATTTCAGTAGTCTGTAGCTTATTAAATAAAAGATAAGGGAGTTTTCCTACCTGAGGGAATAAGGTTCATCCAGACATTAGGTGATTGGGGGGAGCACAGAAGGAGCCATAGTCCTTGTATTCCTTTGGGAAGCACTTCTGTGTGTGATACGAGATGGCTAATGTCTCAGTGAAGAGTTTTAAGGCATTTTCCTAGAATGGCCTCTTCCCCCATTTCCAGTTCTTCCACTTTTTTGGGGGTGGCCTGTGAGGGGGGCTGTGAAAGCCAAAGAAAGTGTCCCTTGAGCTCTCATTTGAGAATCAGGGATGGTGCAAACCCTGGAGGAGTATGGGTAGGCAACTTGATGGGTAAAATGAAGAAGGAGGAGCTGCTTCCCAGAGGCCTGGCCAATGCTAGCTAGTCCCTGGGACTTGAACATGACAAGGTGGGGGTCCTCCTACAGAGGGCCTGAAAAGTGTGGGGGCTCTAGTTTCCTGGGATTCATATACTGAAATGTGGAGCGTGGTCCCTTGGCCTTCTATATCATTCCAAAAGGGAATGTCCTGGTGCCACTCTTCCTGACAATTCTAGGATGACCTGATGCCACAACTAATAGACTGAGAGAGCCTGGGCAACATGGTGAAACCTGGTCTCTACAGAAAACACAGAAATTATCCAGGTATTATGGCAAGTGCCTGTGGTCCCAGCTACTGGGGAGGCTGAGGTGGGAGGATCACTTGATCCCAGCAAGTCAAGGCTGCAGTGAGCCGTGATAGCACCACTATGCTCCAACCTGGGTGAAAGAGTGAGACCCTGTCAAAAAAAAAAAAACAAAAAACAAAAAACTGAGAGGAGAGAACTCAGACTCAGCCAAAGTGCTCAGCCAGGAGGCACTTCCCTACCAGGGGGATCCCGTTTGAAGCAGGTGAGGGCACCCAATAAAGAAGCTGCAATGAGCATCTCTGAGGTACATGGGGAAGCCTGCACAGAGTTCTCGATCTTTTGGTCATAAGGTTAAGAAATGCTGGTGGGGCCAGAGGAGCTCAGTTAACAGCCAGCTTCCTATATGTGGGGCTCATTTCCATGGGCTGTGAGAGAGGCCAATCCTCCACAGAAATCAGAATCTAGATGCAAGAAGGCAGCCAGGATCAGGTCTGACCAGATGGCCCCATGGCAGAGATGGGGGAAAATGTCACCTTTGAATCCTGAGAAGCTAGGCTTTGTGCTCACTTAGCTTCTGCAGCAATCGATTGGTCCCCGGAGCCACTCAGTACACTCCAGGGATCTGCCTGCTTTAGGATCCAGAGCCCTGGGAAGGGTTAGATGGGAATCCAGGGATCCTGGGCCTGGTGCGTTCGGTGGACAGCTATGTCCTTCTTGTCAAGGTGGAAACGGCGCCTCGGCCCTGGGTGGGAGCCCCGCCCCAGCCCTGCAATCATGCAGGCAGTCGAGTAAGCACTCCATTGTGGAAGGGGAGGCCAGGAAGAGAGAGGCTTCTCTTCGAGGCCTCCCACCCCCACCCAAACCTCGCGGTTGCAGTCGCTGTGGGCGGCGGCAGAGGATGTTAGCTGGACACGCTGCAGTTGCGACCTCTTCCCACTAGATGTCTTCCCAGTTAATCGGAATTGAAGGGCGCGGTTTCTGCTCCCCGGGCCGGGACTCGGTTTCCCTGGCCGCTATTTGAAGTCTGGTGTTCCTCTGTGAAAGCTGATTTCTTCCTTTTTTTTCCCTCTAAACTCCCCTTCTCGCCCTCCGATCTAAATCCTGCCTCTGGAAATCCACCAGAATCAAATGCTGGCTCCCTGTGGGCCCACGTTGGAGCGGCTCATGCCATTGGAATCTTTTTATGACCTTTGATGTGTTTAAATAACATGGCAAGTCTGAGCACACACCTCGGATTAAACTTTAATCGGCTGCAGTCAAGGTCGTCCAGGTGGTAAATGCGTTTCCTCCGACGTCTCCTGGCAGACGCTGCGGGGTCCAAGGTCTGGGGCAAAGCCCTAGGCCGCTGCCATACCCTCCTGCCTCTGTCAGGCCTGGGTGGGGGCCAGGCTCAGGGCCACCCCATCGAGCTCCAAAGACGACTAAGGAAATGGGATCGGAGGTAGACACCCAGGGTGGGCTAATGACCTGAGTACAGTTTTTATAGCTGCTAGACAGAATAGTTAAGAATTCCAAGAAGCACTTTCAATTTCCCCTGGTTCCAGAAAGTGGTTGAAGGTCTAGTCATGGTCAGTGCCTTACTGCCTCCTCCCCAAGGCTCTGCTCCCCAAGGGAGAAG